TAATTTAGATTTTCTTTTACCGTTTAGTTTCAATCATATTACTAGTTAAGCCAAACCAAATATAATCAGTTTTGCATCCTTCAAAAAGACATTTTGCATGTTTGCTTGCAGGTTCTTCTTCATTTTCAGGAATTATATAAATCTCGAAACATTACTTAGCGAAACTGGTTGACTTATCAAAATTTCTAAACTGTTTTAAAGCTTAATTAACTTGTAAATTATTTAAAGACATATTAGTTGAATATCAAAAAAATTTTAAAATAAAAAAAAAACCGGTATCTTTTATAATTTCATTGCTATAAAAAAACGTTTTTATGCAACGCGTATTTGTATGCAAATGCAATTAAATAATGTCAAATGTCAATTAGTTTCAATAAGACGCAGTAAAATTATGCAATAAACACCTGCCTTTATAAACTAGGGAAACAGGAACCGTGTTAAGTCCGGAACGATCTTAACTAAAAAAAATTCACACCGATATTTGCCTAGGAATTTGACATTTTTTCGTCATATATAGTCCTATTCGTTCTGGACTAATAAATTTATCCCCAAATTCATGTGATTGAAAAGTGAGACGAGGTTTGTTTTCTTATTTTTGAGGATGCTATAGATTCAAAAATCTATGTAAATCGCATAAAACGATTGACGAAATGCGTATTATAATCATGTAAAATTTATTTTGACCGATTATGAAGTCATGATCACCAACCAATAAAAAAAACTTTCCATATGTTTTTCTGGGTTTCCAACTTTCCAAATGATGAACTATTACAAAAATACCCCTTTTGAGGAATAGACGCGTGCAAATATAATAGATTATATCGCGGAGAAAAAATAATAACTTTACAACAAAGAGCGAAAACCCTTGATTTAATCAAAAAAGACCTTCAAAAGGTTACAGCTGATTTGGAATTTGATTTAACTTGTAGGAATAAAGCACAAACTATACTTAATAATTGGTCGGTGAGTTGATTTAATAAATTTAATAAGAAGAATTGAAGT